GCAAACTCATTTTTTTGGTTGATTTTTCTTTGTTAAATGGCATTTAAATATATAAAATATATATCAAAGATATAAGTCTTTGTTTTACTATGGTTGCAAATATAAAAAAATTTCTATATGTGACATGGCACCAGAGTTAAGTTAGGGTTTTTTAAAATGCTGACACGCCGAGCTAAAAAGGTTCACCATCACTGTGCTAGGGAGAGGAAGCCAGACGATACTACATGACATCATTACCCGGTGCCCACAGCGAGCATTTCTGGGCTGGCCATGGTGTCTCAGCAGTGTTGGCTGTGATTTGGTGGGCTGTTGCTCTGGGGTGGTGCCCAGTGTTGCTTTGGGGATGCCCAGTGTTGCTTTGTTGGCCAGCTCCGTACTGCTGTTTCTCTGTAAATGGCAAGTGTGTGTCACGGCAGCTCCTGAGTTGAGTGTCTGCCCCCCGTGGTGGTCAGTGTGCATCATAGTGACCGGTCAGAAGGTGGGAAGTACACTTAGCATATTAGCTTTTCTATAAATAGATGACTACCTAGTGGGCATTTGTCATATTTCTGGTTGCCCAGCCCCCAAATTTCCTTTAGAAGTTTGAGGAATAGGACACTGTGTGAGGCAGGACCCTGGTATCAGTTTTTCATGATCACTGACTGTTTGGGACTCACGTATGACTGGTGAGCCAACCCCTCCTGAATTGTGATGCTGGAGATAGGGAGTCAAGAAAAGCAGGCAATGTGTAAAATTTATGCTGGTAGCAGTGACATCCAGTATCTTGTAGTAGTGACAGCAGCTGGGTCAGCTATGTGTCCAACAGTAGTGTCCATTGCTAGTGTCCAACAGTAGTATCTCATGGCATGGTTTCCTCTGTGGGTCTGGCCACCCAGCCTCCCTTGGTGCCTGCCTGTGTTCCTAGCCTGACTCTCTAGCCTTTTCATTGATTCTTTGAGCTCCCACTACTCTTCAAAAAAATTTATTTTCTGCTTTAGTTAACTAGCTTCAATTTTTGTTGCTTGCAACCAAAAGACTAACACATAGTCTTTAGATAATTTTCAACCCAAAAGAGTATGATGCTACTGGATAAAGTCATGGTCAAATTTGCAACTGGGCCCTGGCTGGTATGGCTCAGTTGGTTGGGGTTTGTCCTGTGCATCAAAGGTTGCTGGTTCAATTCCTAGTCAGGCCATATGCCTGGGTTTCTGGCTTGATCCCGGGTGGAGGATGTGCAGCAAAGCAGCTGATTGATGTTTCACTTTCACATCGATGTTTCTTTCTCTCTCTAAAAATCAATAAAAAATATTTTTAAAATTTGCAACTGGTCTGGGAGTTTTGTCTGATCTTCCTTTAAACTCATGCACCTCATAAAATGTCTGCTGCCCCACCCTACACCACCTCTTACTCTGTCTTCCACAACTTCTTAATTCACACTCACTCAATAAACACTTATTCAGCACCTACTGTATACAAGGCAATATGCCAGGCACTGAGAGGACTCCAAGGCCAATAAGCTGTAGCTCTGACAATACTTTCAAATTTGAACTGGGTAAATATATTTTCTTTCAAAAAGTAAATTTAAACATTGACCTCTCTGTTGAGAGTAGAAGTGACAGGGAACTCTTTCTATCTTTGAGTTAGTGTCACTGAGGGCAAGATGATGTCCATTTCTTTGTAAATGTTCCAGAAATAAATCCCAAAAGGCAACTGGATTCCTTTATTGGATGTTTCCAGTAGAAAAGAAACAAGTGGTTCTCTAGAGCACTGAGAAAAGAATACCCCCCCCCTTTTTTTTAAATTGCTTTTAGAGAGAGGATGGAGGGGAGAGAGAGAGAGAGAAAGAGAGACATCGACCAGCCACCTCCCTTATGTGCCATGACTAGGGATCAAACCAGTAACCAAGATATGTGCCCTGACCAGGAATCAAACCTGCAACCTCTTGGTGTAAGGGACACACACTAATCAACTGAGCCACCAGCCAGATAAAATACGCCTCTTCTGAAGTTGACAACTAGATTGCTGCTCATCAAAATATTTTTGATGAGGATGAGAGATGGGGAATTAGTGCCCGTGCATTAGAAATTTAACTCCAGATAATGCAGAGTCCCGACACAGAGTCAAAGAAACATCAGTTTCACATACAAATACTACCCAGTTTGTCTCCTTTTCCTTAAATTACCAAATAAATATTTCTCCACGGAAGTGGGGACCCTGTTACCCCTGGGACCCCTATAATACAGGAATTTCGCAGGAGGGTTGACACTTGTTTCTGAAAACAGAATACTCAGGACAATCCAGGAAGAAGGGCACACATGACTAATGTAAAGCGAGTAAAGCAGATGTTCCCACACATCCAAGAAAAGCCTGGTCACATACACCACACTGACTTTACAGGAGCTTACACCAGACCCTCACCCACAAACAGGGAGTTTGATCTAGAAGTCAGACTTTGTTTGGGGGTCAGGTCTGCACTCCCTGGGTGACTTTGGACAAGTCATTTAACCACTATAGGACTCAATTTCCCTTCAGATTTCCTTCCGAATTGGAAGGAAACTTGGAGACGACCTAAATCAGTCCTTAACTTTCACTTGACTTTTCTCTGAAGCATCCCCAACCTGCTTGAATGCTGACATTTATTAAATGTGACAGATGTCAATTTTGAAATGCTCTGATTGACAGAGAAGTTCTTCCTCACATATTTGCAATGTGTCTCCCTATACTCATAGCTTTCTTCATGGTAGTAATCTCTAAGGTCAATGAACAGCTCTTTAAGAAAGCTCTCAACTTCCTTTGCTTTTCTCCTCTACAGGCTACAACCACCCCCTCCTCTCCCATTGTTCTCATCCATCACATTCAAGATAACACCACCACTCTGGGCTTCATATTTTATGGATGTGGAGTACAGATTCAGCACTCTGAGGCCTCAGACAGTCAGAATTTGGATACTGAGCCTGTCACTTAACTGTGTAACAGTGGGCAAATTACTTTCATTTCTCTAGCCTGGTTTCACTCTAAAAGGAGGATAATAAAATAGATAGTAAGCAGCAGCACCATACCTATCTCTTAGGGAAGTCGTTAAAGAGATAAATTAAAAAAAAACCCACAAGTAAAATGCTTAGTACCTGTAATATTACTGCTGCTCTCACTATTGATAATAAATATATAAGCTCTAATAATGAGGATAAGAATAAATGTTAGAACCCAGAGGATTTAGAAATGTTAATCTAGCCTAGCCAGTGTGGCTCAGTGGTTGAGCGTAGACTTATGAACCAGGAGGTTACCATTAGATTCCCAATCAGGGCACATGCCCAGGTTGCCTGTGATCCCCACTAAGG